TTCGGACTGTACGAGTCGCGGCGAAGTGCACAGCCTTCGCGGCGCTTCTTGCGGTACAAGTACTGTGCAACGAGAGGTCAACCAAGAGCGAGCTTCGCCTGCGCCCGCTCTCCGCGCGCGCGCTCCTCCGATGCTGCTGCGCGTCGCGTCGCGGCGCTGCGCGGCGGCGGCGGCGCGGCGGCGCCCGCTGTCCGTCGCCGCCGCCGGCGACGACGGCGCGCTCATGGACGCGCTCCGGCGCTGCGACGACATCTACCGGCGCGACGTCGCGCCGGTCAACGAGGCGCTCCACGGCCCCCTGGAGCACGCCTACCAGCCCACGGTGCTCCCCTTCGTGCTGCTCCTGGGCAACCACTCGAGCGGCAAGTCGAGCTTCGCGAACTTTGCACTCGGGCGCGACGTGCAGACGGCCGGCGTCGCTCCCACCGACGACAGCTTCACGGTCATCGCGCCCGGCGCGAGCGACGCGGACCAGGACGGCCCGGCGCTCGTCGGCGACCCGGACCTCGGCTTCGAGGGCCTGCGCAAGTTCGGCCCGGGCCTCATCCAGCGGACGCAGCTCAAGATCCGGAGCGGCATATCGCCGAAGAACTTCATGCTCGTGGACTCGCCGGGCATGATCGACTCGCCGGGCGGCCGGGACGAGGCGCCTCGAGCAAGCTCGACCGGGGCTACCACTTCGAGAACGCCGTCAAGTGGTTCGCGGACCGCGCGGACGTCGTGCTCCTCTTCTTCGACCCCGACAAGCCCGGCACGACGGGCGAGACGCTGGCCATCCTCACGAACGCGCTCGCGGGCCAGGACCACAAGCTCCACATCATCCTCAACAAGGCCGACAAGTTCGAGCGCATCCACGACTTCGCGCGCGCGTACGGCGCGCTCTGCTGGAACCTGAGCAAGGTCATCCCCCGCAAGGACCTGCCGCGGATCTACACCATGTGCATCCCCCAGGGCGACGCCGGCGCCGGCGGCGGCGCCCTGGCCGCGGGCCTCGCGGACCTGCGGAAGACGCGCGACGACGTGCTCGCGGAGGTGCGGCGCGCGCCGAGCCGCCGCGTCGACAACGCGATCACGCGGCTCCAGGACGCCGCGGCGCTCCTGCTCATGCACGCGGAGGTCACGGACGCCGCGCGCAGGGGGGCGCTGCTCTGCCGCGCGCGCCACTACGGCGGCACGGCCCTCGCGGCGGCCGCGGCCGCCGCGGCGACGGCCGCGCTCGCGGTCGCCGCGCCCGCGCTCGGCCCGGGCCCGCCCCTCGCCGCGGGCTGCGTCGGCGCCGCGGCGACGGCGGGGCTCCACTACGTCAACGGCAACGAGGCCGCGCGCCGGCTCGCGGAGCTCGACGGGCCCGCCGGCCTCGACGCGCTCTACCGCAAGGCCTACGGCGCGGAGCTCGTCCGCGGCGACGAGGAGGCCAACGCGCTCTGGGCCCGCGTCCGCGACCACCTCCTCCGCAAGCTCGACGCCGTCGGCGGCGCGAGCCGCGTGCCCGCGGCGCCGAGCGGCGCGACCGCGGGGCTCCGCCGCGTCCTCGACCACGACGTGCCCGCGCTCCGCCGCGCGGCCGCGCCGGCGTCCTACGGCGGCTTCCCCCGCGACGCGCCCGAGCCCTAATGGCGGCCGCGACGGGACGAGTTGGGGGCCTCGCGAGCTTCAACAAGGGTTCACCTTGACCTCTCCTGAAGATTTATCGATCCGCGCGACGAGGCTGCCCCTGAATTCGCCATCGCGACGCCCAAATGGACGCGGTAGGAACGCCGCCGCCCGAGGCGGGCGAGGCCGCGGGGCCTGCCGAATCGGAGGCATCAGCAGAGTCCGAGGCTGAGAACCTGGGGCGGGTCCAGCAGCTCACGCGGAGCATTTCCGCATCGCTCGATAAGCGCGTACAAAGCACGACGCACGCGTAGCAGCAGCGGTAACAACACGCCGCGCAACGCTGGCACCTGTGTGGATTCCAACCACTGGTTTGGGGGGTCCCCACCAAACTTCAGAACTCTCTATCTCGGTCAAATCGAAGTC